ATGGATCCGTGGTTTTGTGTTTGTTGTGTTTTTATGTTTTTGTGTGCGATGTCTTTTTATTCAAATTTCATATATTCAGACTCATCAGCACAGGATAACAATAATGTAAGTCTTAGTGTCAAGTAAATGATATTTTAGTTGTGTTATTTATTTTGAATAAAAGTAATTTATGTTGTAACTATTGGTAATGTAAATTAATTTGTTTAAATTGATTTATTACTTTTGATAGTAAAATATGAAATAAGATTTTCTCTAGTGAATAATATGTGAAATATTTTCTTTAGTAACGATGTTTCTGAAATTATATTTTAAATCCATTGTGGACCAAAACTGAGAATTGAATCAAATACTTGTTTAAATACTGTGGAGATATATGTATTTGTAGGTAAAATTACTTACAAATCCATTCACACTTCAAATTACAATAGGATATAGTTTTAAATCATTGTTAATAGAGTTTAGAGGGAAAGCGTGATAGACCAAGTTGTGTTGTAATGAACTACTGCAAGAAAGCAAAGTCTATATAGAAAAAAATTTCTATAAATCATGTGCAAAAAGGACAAAGTATGATCGTTTTCAAGGATTTTTATTATTATAAATAATAATAGTTTTGTTTGATCACTATGAGCAAAAGTAGCTCTTTTTATTACGCAATCCTGTTTTGCAAGCGAGGCACAGCCGAGCGAATCAGCATCAGCATCAGCCTGGAAATACGATTAAGCACCAAAAAGACACTTTCGCTGGAATACATCTTTTAATGATAAGTTTAATGTATTCACTGGATTGGCGAGAGTGTCTTTAGCTATTCAAATATGGCCTCACTACTTTGTAAATAAACTTACGGACGTTTAAAAACCCAATTTTGTGCGATTTTTGTCAAGTTTTCTCCCAATGTTTATCACATAATCTCATCTATGAAATAGCGAACAGCTGGTCGGATCAAGATTATTTTTCTCTAGCTGTCATTGATATGTTTACATTGAATGTTGTTTACAAATACCGCAATCATTTCCGATCACGTTTCAAAAGCAAATCCAAAAAAAGTTTGATTAAAACCGTTTTTGCTTACATAACGGATTTAATTAATCGCAAGTGCAATAATGTGTAGGGTAACCGTAAATGAAAATAGAGATTCTCTGTGTACAAAATTGTTCTTGAGTTTTGATAACCGGGAAAAAGACATTGAATCAGTGTTGTATATGGCTGGGAAACTTACATTTTTTACATAAGCGTTACCAATAGCTTGCATAAAAGTTTTCAACTCATTGACGGCACTTCAATAGTGGTTATGTAAAGTGTAAAGTGACAACTGCAGTGTGTGATTGTAACAGAGGTTTACGGATTATGCTCAAATCGCTTTTCCAATGTGTCTTCTCCACGCTATGTGCTGCTCGCTGGACCATACAGCCAATAGACCAATTGCCCATGTCTTGGGATCGTAGGCCTAAACAATTATTCATAAGTTTGTAGCGCATATTACTCAGTGTTCCGTACGGACAGGACAAGAGCACCTTTGATAGTGAAATTTCCAACCTGAATGTTTAATGGCGAGGTTGAGGTACAGTATTTTAACTATAGGCCTATATCGGTTGGTTAGTTAGGTAAGGTTAACCTAACCTAACTAACCAAACGATATACAGTATCGAATTAAACAATCGAATAATCAATATTACTCATTTGGTTGTTTGTGCCAACAGATATGGAAGTGTACCCCTCATAGATCTATTGCGCATTTTTTTTTTTTTTTTTTACTTGATACTGTATTTGTTTTATATATAATAGTTTGGCCAGCATATCTAAAAATATGCAAACCAGCTGCTGTTCTTTATATAGGAAGGTTTCAACTGACCACTATAAGATTCCTGTGCGTAGAACGGGCACATAGATTGTAGAGAACTATAAATATTTAATATAAACAGGTGTTTTCAGGACAGTATGATGAAAATACATTTTTGTTGGCACTGTGGTGTTTGTAATGATAAAAAAAAGTTCACCGTTCAGCAAAAAGTTAAAAGAAAATTGTTATTTCAATGAGCAAAGGGTTAAAGTTTACCTTATCAATTACATACTAATAATAATAATAAAGTTGGGGTTGATTTATATTGTTTTAATTTCAAGTCTTTAAGGTAATTTAAAGTTAAACCTTTACCAAGCAAAATGGCCAACATTACATTACACCTACTGAAACTCCAACAATCCTAATTTCTTACCGTCCAAAATGTTTAAAACTGTTTTTTTTTTACTTGCGTATCCTCGAAATTCGGTGAAATATAAAGTTAACAACTTCTAAAAATCCAACAATAACGCAGCATAATAGCTAACAACCTACTTCAACCAACCATTATTGTATTTTACATTTAGAACAACACTTCAATAACAGTGAAGTTTTAACAACGATATCACGAGTTAGTTATTAACATTAGCAAAAATCATAGTTTAAAATATGGAACATTCCATTTTCTAACAATTTTAAACATTATATAATATTACATTGTTTATTACAATACTATACCGTATTGGATCTAATATTGAACTTGGTATAAGAAAAATGGCAAAAAGGAGAGCAAGCTAATACGTATTTTCTGAAAGCTTAAACATCTATACAAATCTAATATATAAAATAGTATATTATTGCTGATTATCTTGATAACATTTTATAGAAGTGCATAGGCTATAGTGTCCAATATATTTCTTTACAATAATATTGAATTATATTCTCAATACATATACCTTAAACAATATACAGGGTGTCCCGGAACTCTCTACCAATATTTTAGGGCATTGTTCATGGGTAAGAAACATATCTAAATATCATATTTAAATTGTCCGGAAGTCCTTATTTACTCAGATAGCCGCCATTTTGTTTTTTTCACTTATTATTTTTTTTCTGAAGATTGGTTAAACATACGAAGTTGAAACTTTGCACAAACATCTATGACAACTACACAAAGCTACAAAAAAATTATGAAGATTTTTCAAATTCATAAAACAAAATGGCGGCTGTTTAAAATTTTGTTTCTTAAATTACTCAAAAACCGTTGATGTTACAAAAATGTTACAAGAAAAACTTTTTTAAGGCAATTTTATTACAAATCGATCGACACCTTAATCTTTAAGATCGGACGAGTATTAACTGAGATATGGCAGTTTTAGTGATACGTGACCGCCGGATATTAGTTGCAGCGCATGCTGAAAGCGGTCACGTATCACTAAAACTGCCATATCTCAGTTAATACTCGTCCGATCTTAAAGATTAAGGTGTCGATCGATTTGTAATAAAATTGCCTTAAAAAGTTATTCTTGTAAAATTTTTGTAAAATCAACGGTTTTCGAGTAATTTAAGAAACAAAATTTTAAACAGCCGCCATTTTTTTTTATGAATTTGAAAAATCGTCATAATCTTTTTGTGGCTTTGTCTAGTTGTCATAAATGTTTGTGCAAAGTTTCAACTTCGTATGTTTAACCAATCTTCAGAAAAAAAATAATAAGTGAAAAAAACAAAATGGCGGCTATCTGAGTAAATAAGGACTTCCGGACAATTTAAATATGATATTTAGATATGTTTCTTACCCAGGAACAATGCCCTAAAATATTGGTAGAGAGTTCCGGGACACCCTGTAGATACAGTATTTAGAATATCAAAATGTATCTTACCAAAAATTGTGATCAAATTATAAAAAAGTTAATTTTTTGTGACAGCGAACTTGTAAAATAATTGGTTTTACTACCTTAGATCAAGACTAGAAATTGCAATTAATAAATGCAAATGATGGAAATTGTAAAATAATTAAATATATGAAAATTAATCATAGTAAAATAATCACATATTATTTTAAAACTAACACTAACATTTAACTTATTACTTAAAAAATGCAATAAAACTTCAACTAATATATATTTCTACTTAGAAAATATCACAACTGTTTCAAATCATCAGGTACAACTTATTAAAATTACTGATTAAAAACAATACAATCAAAATGCATACACTGTAGGCCGAAAAAATAAGTTTGAGCAAAACACAAAGCTTACAATAACACCTCTTATCAGTTACATTTTCATCAAACTAAATTTCCACCAGAGAGTTGAGAAAAGTAAAAGACAAGTAAAAGTAGCTTCATAGTTCAAGTCACAGTATATTGGATAACATGTCTAGATGATATGTTTCTTGACACCTCTAAGGCTGGGCACACTGATCCAGCATTTTGCCTGATGCTTGAAGCATTTTGTTTCTTTGCTTAACTCCAGTTTGTGGGAGGATCAAGCATGATTCAGCATTTGGTTTCAAACAAAAATAAATATTATTTTTACTGGTCCTCTATAGTAACGTAACGTTTTAACAAGTGTGCGAGGAAGTCAACGTAGCTGTTGCTGTATGTCAGTTTTTGCAAATGCTGGACTAAATAGAAAGAAAACATTTGGTTAACCCAATCAATCAGATGACAGACATTAAGGCTTTCCTCTCAGAAATTAAATCAGATCCAGGGAAGTTTTTGAGTTATTGACGAATAATTGCTATATACTACTATTTTATTGGACGGGTTTTAAATAACGTAAGCGATATCGTTAGAAATTATTATTAGGTAATGTCGTGACGTGATGGTTATAAATAATGAACTGAGTAACCTTGGTAATTAATTCATTATTTACTACTTTGCACAGGCTGATTTACTATCAAAGTGGTAGCAAGAAAAAATTAACCTACAATATTATTCAATAGAAATTCAAAATATAATTGTTAAGTTTTAACGAAACTTCAAAATTCATTTTTCAAACAAGAGGTCTATTGCATTTTGAGATCCTCTAAGCCATTACTAGTAAGAAGGGATTTGACGCATGCGCAGAACGTTTTGCTCCTTGAAACATCAAATATCGTGCTGTATCAAATCCATTCGTTGAGAGGCTGCTCAAATGTTTTGAGGTGTTGCGAGGTGCCTCGCAAAGTTTGCTTGATCAGTGTGCGGCCGCCCATTGAATACATGGAGCGCTTGTACAAATATTTTGCCTTGCAACCCTTGTTTGAGGTGAAATGCTGCATCAGTGTGCAGCTGGCCTAAAGGCGTCAAAGAATTAGAAGTAAAGAGCTAACGGTAGTTCAATATTTACTTTCACTTGAAAATTCACATGGTTACAGTAGCTAGACATGGAACATAAGATTAGTGAATTTGAGTTTGACTGAATAAAATCATAGGTAATTCCCAAACATATATATACCTCAATAAACATATTCAAAGTTTCGGGATCTGGAATCTGATCCCGTCCTCAGGCGAAAAAAACTTAACTAACACATTACAACTTACAATACACAAACGGCCAACCTAAGTTGAGTAAAGATTTAGGTTAAATTTAACACTTTGACTACTGATCGTTCATAAATGAACCAAAACTATTTCACTAGTAAAGATCAGCTATATGCAATGGTCCATTAGATTATACCAATGCTTACTCATGTGTTTAGACCTACTCCTAGTAGGCCATAAGAAACAAAAGCAACGAATAATCTCCCCACGCTCAGACCACATAAATCATCTAATCACAAAATATAAACTGATGGATGATTGTATTTAATTTATTTGAATAAGAAAAAATACTCAAAAACAAGTTATTGGTCTGTAGTTATGAAATAGTTAACCTCATTTATCAGCCATCGGTATGAGGTGGAAAAACATCATGGCTCATTTAAAAGGTATCAGTCTAATAAATTGAAATGATAATATTACACACAATCGGTAGTAAACTGGTTGTTTTTAAAGCAAACTGTAAGATCACTTGGCTTAGTAAACATTATTTTGTAGTTATTTATTTTTCTCCTTTTTTGTTTTTCCTTTCTTATGTTTTATGAGCGTTGCCTCTAGTTTGGCATCTTCTTCACTGCGATATTCTAGCTCTGCTGGACTTCTCACACACTAGAAAAGGATTTATATTGATTGTTAGGTTGCATTGTTAAGTTATGATGAAATCAAATGACCTAATAGCCAAGCTTGTATTTATTTATGGTATAATGAGAATAAGAATAAGAATATCTTTATTGTCATAACAGTACATTCTTTAACAACTAGCAAAGCTAGAACATAATAGATGACATTGTCAATACAGTAAAGTTATCATAATTGAGTACACCTAGCAATAAGTATCCAGGGAAAAAAATTAATCAAACCTCACAAAAATCATTTTAAGAACATGAATTTATCATTAAAAAATGCGTCAACTGAATAATACATTTTTTTTATCAAAAAATCCTTCAACTTTTCTCTAAAGCCGTCCTTCTCTATTATTTCCTTAAACTTGCTGGGTAGTGTATTGTACAGTTTCCTCCCCATATATTGTGGTGTCTTTTCAGATAGTGTCTTGGATACTGAACATTTGTTTGAAATCTAGTTTCATGATGGTGCCTATGCTGAGTTTTACTTAAAATTTCAAAATTATTTTTAACAAACATAAGACATTTGAGGGATTGACTTTGAGGAGAATGTCATGAGGTGGATGTACTTTTTTTGGACCTTAAAAATTGTATCTGCATGAGATGACATTCCCCAGAACTCAATGCCATAGATTACATTTGGCAAAAAACACCATGATAAATCATAAGCCTGGTTTTTGAGTCAATAACCTCTCGAAGAACAATCATTTGGAAACAAATAGAGTCTAATCTCTTGCATACTTTTTTTGTTAGAGAGGATAAATTTATATTCTTGTCATATAGTACATGCTCCAATCTTTAGGCTATCAAGTGTCTATGTAACTTAGGCCTATATGACTTCTTCTTCTTCTAAGAATGAATGTATTATTCTTCCTATGTCCGGAGTCGGTTGTGAGGTTATGTAATGTCCTCGTTACTTCATATGTGTGCTGTTGTGTAGTAACTATAATAGACAATAAAATGTTCCATATCCACATCATTGCGCGTCATTTAATAACCCTAACAATGGTTATGGGCCCAGAGGCCGTTTGTGGATATGGATATTAATAACTGGAACATTGTGATATCAGTTTGTTCACGGGTTCGCGAGTAACGATTGATCCTAACCTACACATAGGTTGTGCCGTGTGCGACTACGTGAGACTTTTGTTCATAGTTCTGAAGACAGTACCGACAAAAAATGAGTGCTTCTTCAGGTCTACCTATTGTTGAAAAACTGCAGGGGAGGGAAAACTTCTCAACTTGGAAATTTGCAATGAAGGCCTGATGACCTTTGGGATGTCATAGAGGAAACCCCACCGGACCCGATCAGTGACAACTGGAAGAAAAAAGACAAGAAAGCCCATTCAAGAATTGTTTTATTTGTGGATAAGATTAATTATTCTCACATCAGAGACACTAGAACGGCTGCAGAAGCTTGGAACGCCCTGGAAAAGGCCTTTGAGGATTCTGGCTTAACAAGGAAAGTTGGCCTACTAAAAACCTTAGTCACAACCATGCTTGAAAAATGTAAGTCTATTGATGATTATTGTGATAGAATCATAACAACAGCTTTTAAGTTAAATGAAATGAAATTTAATGTTAGTGAGGAGTGGATTGGTACCTTGCTACTCGCAGGTTTGCCTGATCACTACAAACCGATGATCATGGCATTAGAAAATTCGGGAACACCTATCACTGGTGATTCCATCAAAGTAAAGCTCCTTCAGGATGTGAAATCCGAGGACTGGACCGGTGAATCTGCTCTTTATGCCAATAAACAGTTTAGGTCTAATAAGTCGACACCGCTAAAATGTTTTAGGTGCAATAAGCCTAACCATCTAGCTAAGAATTGCCCTCAATCAAATGGTAGTAACAATAAATCTAATAGGCCTAACCAAAACAGTAGGTTTAGACCTAATGAATCTAGATTCTCAGATAGGCCCAATAAAAGTAGGCCTAATGAGCACAAACATGAAAATAGCCATGATACAAGTAAGAAAAATGCTTTTCTGGCTGTAGACAGTCATCGGCGTACCCATAATGAAGGTTTATGGTACTTGGATTCATGTGCGTCCACGCACATTACAAACGATGTAAATAAGCTTAGCAATCTAAAACCAAATAGCTGTACAATAGTTTCAGCAGATGGTTCAGATCTAGTTGCAGTTAGTTCTGGCACTGTAGATCTTGAGCTATATAATGGTAGTGAAGTTGTAGACGTAGAAGCCAATGATGTTTTTCACATACCAAGTTCGGCAGTTAACCTACTATCAGTGAGTAAGATAGTTAAGAAGGGACACACTGTAACCTTTGACAAAAGTGGGGGTTATGTTCATAATAATGAGACAGGTGATTTAGTTGCAACAGCTCATCTAAAAAATGGAATTTATTGTATGAATACAACAGAAATAAAAAACTGTTTTTATTCTGAGAATAAAGGTATTTTATGGCATCGTAGATTAGGCCATCTGAACCGGAAAGGTATGTTAAAGCTGTCTAAAATATCCACAGGCTTAGACGACAATATTGTAGTGGAAGATCCATGCGAGCTTTGCATAATGGGAAAACAGACACGTTTACCTTTCAAACGGAGCAAAATGTACTCTGAAAATATTCTAGACCTTGTACATACAGATCTCTGTGGACCTATGGAAACTGCATCTGTCGGCGGACGAAGATACTTCTTGACATTCATTGATGACTTCTCAAGACTCATGTATGTGTATTTTCTCAAAGAAAAATCTGAGGTGACAAAAATCTTCAAAAGTTTCAAAGCCATGGTCGAGAAACAAACGGGAGCGAAAATAAAGAAAATCAGATCGGATAATGGTGGCGAATACGTCAATGAAGAAATGAAGAACTATCTTTCTTCTGAAGGAATTGTTCACCAACTTACGACTCCCTACTCCCCTCAACAAAATGGAGTCGCGGAGCGAGCCAATAGAACATTAGTTGAAAAAGCTCGAACAATGTTGTTTGATGCAAACTTGCCTAAAATATATTGGGCTGAGGCTATTTCTTCAGCTGTGTACTTAACAAACCGCTCGCCTTCAGCAATCCTTGGAGATAGAACACCTTATGAAATATGGCATGGGAGAAAACCCAGTCTAGCTCACCTGAGAGTATTCGGATGCAACGCCATGGTACAGATACCAAAAACACAAAGAAAGAAATGGGACCCAAAGTCACTAAAATTTATTTTTGTAGGCTACTGTGCATCAACAAAGGGATATCGACTTCTCGACCCTAAGACGAACAAGATTACAATCTCTAGGGATGTAATATTTTTGGAAAACCAAAAAGAAGAGGATCCTGAGACCAGTCAAAAGTTAAATAAGCAAGTTCAGGAGAACAACGTAAACCTTTCAGCACAAATCGAGTCAAGTGAAGATGGATCTGAAGAGAACGAACATCATGCAGAAGATAATCTCCCAAATGAAGATGAAGCTACTGATGATGAAGATTTTCTTGGTTTTGAAAATGAAGACGTACCAAGTGAAGCACCACGACAATCTGATAGACAGAAGAAACCGAAAACTTGGCCTGATCATGTAATATACTACAGTGAAAAAAATGATGATACAGAAATCACCATAGAAGAAGCCCTAAGTGGTGAAAGATCAAAACAGTGGCAACAAAGTATTGACAAAGAAATACACTCCTTGATAAAAAACAAAACCTTTGAAGAAACTAGCCTACCTATAGGTGTAAAACCATTGAAAACTAAATGGGTACTAAAAATTAAGCCCGCATGTGAAAACCAAGAAGAAACTCTCAAGGCGAGACTGGTAATCAAAGGATGTAGCCAGATAAAAGGGATTAATTACGAAGAAACGTTCTCACCTGTGGTGAAATATTCATCCATACGATACCTCATATCCTTGGCAGCCAAAGAAGATTTGGAGATAGATCACATGGATGTGACAACAGCGTACTTGTACGGAGATCTTCATGAAGACGTCTATGTCATACCACCCAAAGAGATCGCTACTTCAAAGGATGGAAACGTTTGGAAATTGAAGAAAGCCGTCTACGGATTGAAGCAAGCTGGAAGAAATTGGAACAGAAAATAGACGAAGTGCTATCTGGATTGAACTTTACGAGATCTCAAGCTGATCCGTGTGTTTACTATTCAAGACAAGGAAATAACCTACAAGTTATTGCTCTATATGTCGATGACATGCTGTTCTTCTCGAACAACAAGAAATCCATGGAAAAGACGAAGAGTACTCTCAAGACTCACTTTGATATGAAAGACCTTGGACCTGTCAACCATTGTCTCGGCATGACCATCACTCGAAACAGAGAAGCTGGAAAAATTTGGATCTCTCAAGAAGACTACACCAAGAAAGTGCTACAGAGATTCGGTATGAGCGAAGCGAAGCCAGTAACTACTCCACTTGATCCAGGCTTGGACTTCACGACAGTAAGTGACGAAGAGACGGACATGGTGAGTGTTCCATACCAAGAAGCTATCGGTAGTTTACTGTATTTGTCACAAATAACAAGACCAGACATTTCTTTTGCTACCAACTTATTAAGTAGATTCAATAACTCTTACAGTAAGGTACACTGGTTAGCAGTTAAAAGAATTTTTAGGTACTTAAAAGGGTCTGTTAATTTTAAATTGGAATTTTCAAGGGAAGAGAATAAAAATGTAATAGCCTATTGTGATGCAGATTGGGGAAACAAAATAAATGAAAGATATTCTGTTACAGGTTGTTTGTTAAAATGTTCTGGTAGTTTAATATCTTGGTTCAGCAAAAAACAGAGAACAGTAGCATTGTCCACTTGTGAGGCAGAGTATATGGCATTGTCATTTACAGTTCAAGAATTGTTATGGTTAAGACAGTTAATCTCAGAGATTGATCCAAAAAATGCTCTGAACCCATTTGATGTATATTGTGACAACAAAGGTGCTATTCAGTTGACAAAAAATTTTGTAACTAATGCTAGATCAAAGCACATAGATATTAGGTATCACTTTTTGAGACAACATGTTGA